TTTTATAAAGGAAAGATTAAATTACATGAAATTTTAAGTAAATAAATTTTTTAAATATACAGGGTGACATGAAATATTTAGGACAAACTATTTATGGCGTAACTTTTTTCAAATAAGGACCCTTGGAGTATTCTTAATAAACAGTCCCGACAAACTCTTATCTATAATTTAAATACTTGCCCAATATATATTTGTTTAAGCCATTCTCGATTGGCATTCCCGACAAAAACATTTTTATTTTTAAGTATTTCCCCAACTCATACATATATTTTTTTACCAACTTCCTTTGACATACTAAATAAATCCCGACTATTGTACCTTCATCTCAATATTGTTATTCACATACAACCCTATATAAAGAACCCAAGTTAATCAAATGCACCTCAATTCTCACCTCAATTTATACTTTTAACTTATACTTAACCCTTACCAATTTATAAACTCACTTATTATTGTAACTGATAAAATATTATTAGAAAATTAGAAATTATTGAACTCCTCAGAAAAGAGAACTGGGAATATTGAACTAAACCAAACATAGTTCACCCTGTAAAAGGAAATTAATCTTATTAGTTGAATACTAAAAATATGTTTAAAAAATTTTTTGCAGAAACGGCTAATGTTGAATTAATTATAACTGATGGAAGTCAACCTAGTTTCAATGAGGTAATAATAAAATTTATCAGCAACTGTAGATCTCTGTCTCTATTGGTGTCTGACTCTCCACACCTTTCTCACCCCCCCCCCCAACCCATTCTCACCCCCCTCCAAACCATTCTCACCCCCCTCCAAACCATTCTCACCCCCCTCCAAACCATTCTCATTCCTCCCCCCCCCAAACATTTCTCACCCCTCTCCAAACCTTTCTCACCCTCCTCCCCTCCCCCCCCCCCACAATTCTCACCCCGCCTCACATAATGAACTTTTGATTAACATACCTAATTCGTCTACCTACCCCATCCTATATTTTCTTTAATTTCAGATTTTGAAAGCAGGGGCTCCAATAATCGTAATTCCATTCTTTGCCGATCAATGCTTCAACGCTACAATTGCTGAATATTTGCGAATTGGGACTTCTATTGAACCTAGATATTTTAATAAAGTCTTTCGAAAAACATTTGATGATTTAATGAAGTGAGTTATCACAATTTCACTATGGAGCAGCTATGGAACGGGCTACTCGAAACACGGACTTTTTTCCGACCCGAAACTCGATCCAAAAAATTTTCCAAAACCCGACCCATTGAGTCAAAATTTTGGCTTGTTAATTAATAAATTGGGCCTAACTTCAGAGCTAAATATGTATGTTTTATATGTCATTCGAGAGTGCTCGCTGAGCTGAGTCGTCGATACATTAGCCCGCGGACTCATATAAAATGGTCAAATTTATGGGGGAATTTTTGGGGTGAAGAATTAGAATATACAAATAAAAGCTCATTTATTAATTTATAGCAAACAACTATACAATCAAAACCCTGAACGATCGTATAGAATACGTGCTATGGATATTAAAAATGTAATTGAACAAGCTCCTGAATATGGACAAATTGACATGTTAATTAACATAGTTAAAATGGCAATAATGGAGAATGAAGAAAACTCGCCATTTCCCGAGATGAAGGAAGAAGTTAAACGTATGGACAGAAAAGCTGAGAACTTGACAACCAACAATGCTAACGATTTGACAAAAGACATGGCAAACGACTTGAGAGAGAAAATTTTGCCAGAATTTTCGAAAACTATAGAAAGTAACAAAAAACTAACAAAAAATTTAAAAAATATATGAGGATTTGATGTCATTGAAAAATTTTTAAAATGTAAAATTCAGACAAAAGATGAGTTATAATGTGATGTACATATTTTGTAAAAAAGATAAAAATCAAAAACACAAAAAAAACAAAAACACAAAAAACAAAAACACAAAAAACAAAAACACAAAAAAACAAAAACCAAAAAACATACAAAAACACAAAAAACAAAAACACAAAAAACAAAAACACAAAAAACAAAAACACAAAAAACAAAAACACAAAAAAACAAAAACCAAAAAACATACAAAAACACAAAAAACAAAAACACAAAAAACAAAAACACAAAAAACAAAAACACAAAAAACAAAAACACAAAAAACAAAAACACAAAAAACAAAAACACAAAAAAACAAAAACCAAAAAACATACAAAAACACAAAAAACAAAAACACAAAAAACAAAAACACAAAAAACAAAAACACAAAAAACAAAAACACAAAAAACAAAAACACAAAAAACAAAAATACAAAAAAAAACAAAAACCAAAAAACATACAAAAACACAAAAAACAAAAACACAAATAACAAAAACACAAAAAAACAAAAACCAAAAAACATACAAAAACACAAAAAACAAAAACACAAAAAACAAAAACACAAAAAACAAAAATACAAAAAAAAACAAAAACCAAAAAACATACAAAAACACAAAAAACAAAAACACAAAAAACAAAAACACAAAAAACAAAAACACAAAAAACAAAAACACAAAAAACAAAAACACAAAAAACAAAAACACAAAAAACAAAAACACAAAAAAACAAAAACCAAAAAACATACAAAAACACAAAAAACAAAAACACAAAAAACAAAAACACAAAAAACAAAAACACAAAAAACAAAAATACAAAAAAAAACAAAAACCAAAAAACATACAAAAACACAAAAAACAAAAACACAAAAAACAAAAACACAAAAAAACAAAAACCAAAAAACATACAAAAACACAAAAAACAAAAACACAAAAAACAAAAACACAAAAAACAAAAACACAAAAAACAAAAACACAAAAAACAAAAATACAAAAAAAAACAAAAACCAAAAAACATACAAAAACACAAAAAACAAAAACACAAAAAACAAAAACACAAAAAAACAAAAACCAAAAAACATACAAAAACACAAAAAACAAAAACACAAAAAACAAAAACACAAAAAACAAAAACACAAAAAACAAAAACACAAAAAACAAAAACACAAAAAACAAAAACACAAAAAACAAAAACACAAAAAACAAAAATACAAAAAACAAAAACACAAAAAACAAAAACACAAAAAACAAAAACACAAAAAACAAAAACACAAAAAACAAAAACACAAAAAACAAAAACACAAAAAACAAAAACACAAAAAACAAAAACACAAAAAACAAAAACACAAAAAACAAAAACCAAAAAACATACAAAAACACAAAAAACAAAAACACAAAAAACAAAAACACAAAAAAACAAAAACCAAAAAACATACAAAAACACAAAAAACAAAAACACAAAAAACAAAAACACAAAAAACAAAAACACAAAAAACAAAAACACAAAAAAACAAAAACCAAAAAACATACAAAAACACAAAAAACAAAAACACAAAAAACAAAAACACAAAAAACAAAAACACAAAAAACAAAAACACAAAAACACAAAAAACAAAAACACAAAAAACAAAAACACAAAAAACAAAAACACAAAAAACAAAAACACAAAAAACAAAAACACAAAAAACAAAAACACAAAAAACAAAAACACAAAAAACAAAAACACAAAAAACAAAAATACAAAAAAAAAACAAAAACCAAAAAACATACAAAAACACAAAATACAAAAACACAAAAAACAAAAACACAAAAAACAAAAACACAAAAAACAAAAACACAAAAAACAAAAACACAAAAAACAAAAACACAAAAAACAAAAACACAAAAAAACAAAAACCAAAAAACATACAAAAACACAAAAAACAAAAACACAAAAAACAAAAACACAAAAAACAAAAACACAAAAAACAAAAACACAAAAAAACAAAAACCAAAAAACATACAAAAACACAAAAAACAAAAACACAAAAAACAAAAACACAAAAAACAAAAACACAAAAAACAAAAATACAAAAAAAAACAAAAACCAAAAAACATACAAAAACACAAAAAACAAAAACACAAAAAACAAAAACACAAAAAACAAAAACACAAAAAACAAAAACACAAAAAACAAAAATACAAAAAAAAAAAAACAAAAACCAAAAAACATACAAAAACACAAAAAACAAAAACACAAAAAACAAAAACACAAAAAAACAAAAACCAAAAAACATACAAAAACACAAAAAACACTAAAAACACAAAAAAATACTAAAAACACAAAAAACACAGAAAACACAAAAAAACACAAAGAAAACAAATATAAAAAAATTTTTTCCATAGCTCCCATAGTCCTATTTGGACAACCAATTTGTCATTCAAAAGAGTCCGACGAGCTGAGTCGAACGAACTAAAATCAGGTTCGGGACACCTATAAGCCGAGGTACAGGCCCCTAAATGCTAAAAAATCATGGAAGGGACCTTTTGCTATTTTGCAGCATGCGTATTCGACTCTTTCGGTTGAGCTTTCTTCGGATTTTCCACCCAAAAATCAGCTTGGTCCCCATATAGTTTTTCGATTTTCGTGGACATTTATCTTGACTCATATTGTGTCCCGAGTTTAATTTTATGTAGTTCGACTTAACTTTTCGAACTCTTTGGAATAACATAAGTATTGTTTGTCCGAATCGGATTATGGGAGATATGTCAAAATTTTACCAAAATGTATATAGATGTATTTTATAAATTTTCCTTTATGTATAAACGCTTTTGTACAGATATTATTTTCTATTAAAAAATTATGGCGAATTATACACCAAACTCTGATTTTACTATTATATATATCCTAGTTCTTTACACAAGAACTAGTCGGCGTTGGGCCCAAGAGTGGTAACCCACCCATTGGCGCGCCGATCCGCCTATTAAAAACGAAGGCCTTCTTTTTAACTTTTTATTCAACAAATATATTAATAAATAAAGGGAGAGAGAAAATGACCAAATTTTTTTTCATTTTTTAAAGGTAATTTAGTTTCATTCATCTAATAAACAACAAATATGTGTTTTAATTTTATGAGTATTACTAATGCTTATCACAACCACGTTTATTTTACATTGTGATTGTTGCTAACAAATTTCTTCGTGGCCTGCCACATTTCTTTTTGCTTTTACTTCCTAAAATGGTTTTTCTTTCAAAGACGCTCAAAATTTTCTCTTATGACATTTTCATTCATTTGCTTTTCATTTTCTCACAACTTTGATTTAATAGATGAATTGTTCCTTCAATTTGTTCATTGCTTTGGGGGTGCTTTGCTTTTTATTTTTTGGTAGAACCATAGGCTGGTGTGGAACAGGCGTCGTTGGGGAAAACTGCCGAAACTCACAATGTGTTTGCGACAAATCCTGGAAATGGAAAAAGGCTGTCAAATGGAAGTAAGTACATATGTTATTTTAATCTAATCATTATGAATTCAATTTATGAATTCAAAATATTTTCTTATTTTGCTCTAGATTATAGATACCACTTTAACATATTGACGATCATCATTCTTTAATTCGATCCGTCCAAACTTGGCCGAGCCAAAACAACTTAAATTTTGATAATTTCAGCGTAAACGCGCTTTGGTACGTCTGCAAATTTGCCGACGACGCTGAACGAAACTGTAAAGCCCACTGGGATGGCTGTCTGAAAAAGTATGTGTCAACCCGAGCCGCTTTCCAGTCTGTTACTAGCTGGTTCCGTAGCCCCGAGAATGCTGGTTGGGATGCAGCAATCAATGCCGGATGGAATGGATACAAATACGGAAAATGTGATTATCTTCTTAAACAATAAAATAAATATATATGATTTTGTAAATTCTGCATGAAAAACAAATAAATGATTATTGTTATTATACCAACATTAAAATTATGTTTTATAAAGTACATACTTCCTTATTAGATCGACCGAAGATCGATATATTGATTTTCATGGTAAACCTGCATTCAGATTACTGCATTACCGTACTCCACCACAAAATATTACAACCACCCTGTAGAATTATAGTATAAATAAATGAGGATAACTATAGGAGAGCTTTTTTATCTTTAATTATACTACAAATTTAAAAAAATAATTTATCAATCATATAATGTTTATTTAGAAAATTTCAATGTGAATTCAGTTTCTTATTACAGCCTTTCTCCTTTGTAAACATATTCTTCATTAATTAGGATTGTGCCAAACATTTGCCCAATTTATGATCACAATTGCAACATTGCCCGCAATCTAATATTTTTTAGATTTAAATTATATTTAAAAATGTTTCTTATACACCCATGCTGCTATAAATTAACGAAAATGAGTTTAAAATTACGTTACAGTAATGAAAATTTGTGGAAAATTTTGGACACCGTTCTTTTGCTTTTAGATTAAATGAACCGATCAAATTATTTTTTAAACTTACAGCCGAGCGGAGTTGAAGTATCGACACTTTTACTTGTGCTAAGAGTTGTGCTGGAAGTTGCCGGCTCAGTTATTGTTGCTTGAGTTTCCACAGTTTTTGTAGTAAAATCTTCCTTTTTAGTAGTTTGGAAATTGTTTTCTGTAGATAAGACTGTCGATTCCGTATTTATTGTACTTATTTGAGATGACGTTGAAGGAATTGTTGTGTTAGAAGTTTCTGTCGACTCTTCTGCTTTTATACTAGAGCTTGTCATTTCTGTTGTACTCTCTTTCGCAAGGTTGGTGGTTTGAATGTTGATTGTTGAAGTATCTAATACGTTTGCTGTTATAATTGTTGACGTTTCTTTTGACTCTTTTGCTTTTATACTTGTGGTTTCGACATTTTCTTTCGTTACCTCCGCATTTTCTGTGGTCTCTAGCATGTTCATTGTGGTAGTAACTTTATCTTCTGTAGTAGCTAAAACATTTTCCGTTGTTATTTCTTTTATAGTATTTGTAGTTTCTCCAATAGTTTCAGTCAACCCTGTGGAACTTTGAGTTGTTTCAGTTGTTGTCTCTTCATTTTTAGTAGTCTCTATCATTTTGCTTGTTGTGGATGGGTTTTCTGTTGTTTGAGCTGAGGTTGGTGAAACTTTTGTTGTTAGACTTTTCTCTGTCGTCTCTTCATTTCTAGTTGACACTCTAACTGATTTGGTTGTTGTGCGTTCTGTTATTAGACTTTTCGTAGTTGTTGCTTTTTCTGCTGTTGATTTTGTAGTTGTTATCTTAACAGGGGTTGTTGTAGCCTTTGCAGTGCTGTTTTTGTGTTTTTCTGTAGTCTCTAGTCTTTCTGTTGTTGTAGTTTTTAGCTTTTCTGTTGTCTTTAATTTTTCTGTTGTTGGTTTCATTGTTGTTTTAGGCTCCATTGTTGTTGTCTTTACTATTTTCTTTGTTGTTAAAGGTGCTAAAGTAGATAATAAAGACGCAATATCAATACCTTCCCAATAGTCGATTACATCCGGATCGCAATCACAAACACCATTCAGACAATTTGATAAAAGAGCAGAAAGTGGATAGAAGAGAATTATTGAGGAAATAAGAAAATAAATAATTATTTTGAAAAATAAAAACATTTTTATTTATTTTTAATAAATATTTAAAGGAAAACTAGCTAATAAACCCTTACGGATTTTACTCCATTTTGCCTAGGTTGGCTTGTCAGAAATTTAAATTTTATTAATTTTTAGTTCCTTTTCAACTATATTTTAAAAAATGAATTGTGGATTATGGATTTTATATGTCTAGCGTTAAACTATTTTAATAGCTTTAAAATTAAAATTTTGAAAATCAATATTTTAAAAAAATCTGGGAAGAGAGGGAATGAAATATCAATTCATGTTTTGAAGCAATTATATTTTAATATTTAATAATTCTGATTTTAAAAACATTTGTTGCAATGAAATTCTGATTTTAAAATCACATTTAATAAACATTCGATTAAAAAAACACATTTGTTTAAACATAATTCTGGTTTTAAAAACATATGTTCAGTATAAGGTAATTCTGGTTTATTTGTTTGTTGTAATTTAATTCTGGTTTTAGGAAGCAAAAAATTCTGATTTAATGCAAAACATTCTGATTTTGAAACCTCTAATATAATTCTGATTTATTAAAAACATAGATATGTATTTGTTGTTGTAATTTAATTCTGGTTTTGTTGTAATTTAATTCTGGTTTTTCTCTTATAAAATAAACACTTAAAACATTTAAAACACCACTATTAAAACATTTATAAGGAATGTTTTATTAAATTTAAACAATGTTTTAATCAGAATTATAGACTAGACTGTTCTTCTTCTGATTTCATAGGGCAAGTTTCATCATTTCCATGCGTTCCCATACAGAAATATTCTTTTTTGACAGACACATGTGAATTCCACTGATTTGGTTCGTTCTCTTCCAAAATTTGTAACCCAACCAGAGTACAAGGAATTCGTTGCATTCTGTGAAATTGATATAGAAGCCCCCTAGCTTTTCTTAAAATTAAATTTGCATCCATGTGCATTGCTAAAGAAGAAAAATATAAAAGAATTTCATCGTTAGGCAAGCGCTGAGAGACTACATCTGGACCAAATACTGAAACAATTGCACACGCAACAAACAAATGGAAATGGGCACTTCTATAACGAGACCAACAAGCCTTTAAAATAAATTTTTTTGGGGAAGATTTTTTTATAGAAACCTCCCAGATATGTAAAGCTTCAGCTTGGGGGAATTCTCTTTTAAAGAAAAGTAAAATCCAGCGGTGAACGAACATTAAAGAAGGAGCATCACCTCCAAGAAACTTTAAATGTGTGTAGAACTGAAAATAAAAGGAAGTTGAGATTTGATAGAAAAATACATATAAAAACATGTCTAGGTCGTTTAATGTGTTTCATGTTTCTGTTATGAATAAACTTTTAGAGAAACATGTTCGAAATTAATTCTGAAACTTCCGATAAACTTGCTTGGAATAAATTCTGAAATCTTCTGTAAAGCATGTTCGGATAAAATTCTGAAACCTTTCCGGAAACATGTTCGGATGAAATTCTGAAACCTTTCCGTAAAACTTGTTTAGAATAAATGCTGAAACCTTTCCAGAAGACTTGTTTGCATAAAATTCTGAAACCTTTCCGGAAACATGTTCGGATTAGATCTGAAACTTTTCCGGAAAACTTGTCCGAACAAAATTCTGAAACCTTTACTGAAAACATGTTCGGATGAAATTCTGAAACCTTTTCGGAAACATGCACTAAATTAATTCTGAAACACTTTCCGGAAACTAGTTTAACATTTATTTCTGAAACTAAATTTTTTCCCCAATTTAGGCAAAGGAAAACACCTCAGGTACAAAAAGTCGAATCAACTCTCGTAAATAATCCAGCTGAATTTCCATAACAGATTTGCGCTGTTCTGATTGACAAAAAAGTGTTTGCTTCATTAATTCAGTAAAACACCAATAAGCTAAAGGTTCATCTCGAAGTGTAAAAAGTAAAGGAGCTAGTAAATCACTCATTCCTTGAATATAATTAATTTCGGGAAAACGAACAGCATAAGTTAACAAAATTGATCTGTAAAATATTAAATATTATCCGGAAAAAGTACAAACTTCATTGTTTCCAAATTTGCATTTCCATCTCCAGCAAAGAAGGAATTACGCCTGTCAGTTCGAAGAACATCCTAACAAATTTTTAAAAACATATTTTGTATTTTCTGTATTTTTTATTTTAATTCTGATTTTCTTTAAGTATACATATTTTATTTCCAAGTTTAATAAATGTTTTAAACAAATTCTGAAACTTTTCCGGAACATGTTCGAAATTAATTCTGAAATGTTTCCTGAAAACATGTTCATAATAAATTCTGAAACTTTTTCGGAACGTGTTGGAGATTAATTCTGATGTGTTCCCGGAAATTATGTTTGTAATAAATTCTGAAACTTTTCTGTAACATGTTCGAAATTAATTCTGAAATGTTTGAGGAAAACATGTTCGTAATAAATTCTGAAACATTTATAAATTTATACTTTTAAGATGCTTGATTCAACATTAGCATAGAACTTTTCCCCTGCTTCTGTTGCCTTAGAAATTTTTTTAATTCGGTTTCTTTTCATTCTTTGGTATCTGAGAAACAAATCATTTCGAATACTCTCACGATGTTCATAAGTTGAAGACCAAGGGAATATTCTTAAAAGGAAAGGCCACAATTCTTTTCTCATTTTTGGGTCCATCGAAGCAAAATAAATTATCTGAATGCAGGGAGAGATTAGTGGAGAAAATCAGTCATTATCTTACTTTCCTGACAGTAAAAGAATCCCCGACATTTCCTTCCTTTGAGATAAATGAACGCCAATGATCCCAATTTAATCTTTCATATAATCCGTCTTCTGGGTCCATTTCTGTTTTAGCCAGATCAGCACCAACAGGGCAAATGAGTAAGTGACGATCTGGTCCGGCCACAGAAGGCGACTGTTATTTAAAAAATAATTGAATGTATATAACCGAGGGGTAAGGTGAAAATGTTGTGAATAAATTCTGAATTTTTCCGGAAAACTTTTTTATAATACATTCTGATATTTTCAGAAATACATGTTCGGAATAAATTCTGAAAGCTTCTGAAAACATGTTCTAATTTAATTCTGAAACTGTTCCGGAAACTTGTTTAGAATAAATGCTGAAACCCTTCCAGAAGACTTGTTCGGATGAAATTCTGAAACCTTTCCGGAAAACTTGTTCGGAATTAATTCTGAAAGCTTCTGAAAACATGCTCCAATTTAATTCTGAAACTTTTCCGGAAACTTTGTCAGAATAAACTTGATTTTAAATGATTTTGAAGGCGCTCGTAAAGCAATAAAGCCTTAAAAACAAAAAAGTTTTTACATCATTCCCAGCAGATTTAGCCTTTACAGCATTCCAACGTTCAAATATTAATGCCAATTTGTCAAGCCCATCATGATGGAAATGGAATATTTTATATTGTGAATCGTAACTGGCAATAACAAGTTGCCCTTTAACAAGGTAATAAAACATTAAAAATTTAATATATTTTTATTTACCACTTGTTCGTTCTGGATTTGAATAAAATACGCGCATTGATCGCATTTTGCCTTTAATTGAAATTTAAAGGAAAATTTTTTAAAAATCAAAAGAAACAAAATCAGTAAAAATTAATGTCTGTGTTTTCTCTTTATTTTAATTATGTATGTTTTTCTGATTCTGAAATTCTTTTGTATTTTCTTTATTTCTGATTATAAAAACACATTTGTTGCAATTAAATTCTGATCTTAAAAACACATTTTGTTTTATTCTGATTCTGAAAATTCAGTGTTTTCCGGTTAATAAATTCTGTTTTTGTATTTTTTTGTATTAATTTCTGATTTTCTATTTATTTGTGTTTTCCGGAAAATTTATTTATGTTTTCCGGTTTGTGTGTTTTTGTTTTTCGCTTTTGTATTTTAAATTTAGGTATTCTATAATTCTGATTTTGTATTCCTTTGTATTTTTTATTTTTAATGTCCCAGTTATTTGTGTTTTCCGGAAGAAAAATATTTTTTGTATTTTATCATTTTCTGTATTTTTCTAAATTCTGATTTTTTATTTCTTTGTATTTTTGCTTATAATTCTGATTTTGTATTTTTGTTTATCTCCAACCTAAATTAACGGAGAATAACGAAGCAAGTTTATTCCCTGCAATTTCTTTATTATTGTTCTGATCTTCATTTAATATTATTTTTTCTTCCTCCACCTTTTTTGATTGGAAAATAACTTTATCTCTAGTTAAGGCCAATATATTGCTTGTACTTTCTTCCTCCCCATTTTCTTCATTATTTATTTTATTCCATACTAAATTATGATCTCTAGCAAAATGTTCAGGGATTGAATCGAAAAAGAGAGAAGCAGCAAATTTTTGACAAAAAGGGTCGGAATGGCGGGAAGAATTTTGGTCTTGAAAATAAAATTAATTTTTAGAAAATATGGCCAACATATTTAGAATTTAAAGGAATGGACATACAGATCAGGGATGGGACGGGTTTCGAAAATTTCTCGGGTCGGGTTTCGGGTCGAAAAAAAGTCCGAGTATCGGGTTTCGGGTAACCCGTCCCATCCCTGATACATATAGCCCGAAACAACCTCTAAGCCTCTACTAAATTTAGGGAAGCTGCCCTACTCAATTCTGGTAATTTAACTAATTACCAGAAATTGGAAAGTGGACCCGACTTTTTTTAAAACAACTTTTTTTAACTACTATTAAGAAAACTACTTTTAAAACAACTTTTAAGAAAACCTTTTTCATCCTCCTCCGATTTATCATCAACAGACGAAGCATTATCTACTTCCCCTTCCTCCTCCTCATCTTCCACCAATTCATCTTCACAGGAAGTTGCCCCAGAACTTTCTGTCAACTAAATTATTTATTAAATTTAATTAATTTAATCCTTCAAGAACCCGATCATCTCCAATTTTTCCGTCCATTTCTTGTTCAATTGGCGTATTTGGAATTAATTTTATTGAGGGTAGAGACAAGAACTTTAAAAACAAATTTTTTTGTATTTTTATTTTTCCTCCAAAAAAAAATTTTTTCCGAAGAAATTTCTCGTTTAGCCTCACAGTTTTGCAAGGAAAAAATTAAAAAAATTTTTTTGAAAAATTTTTCTGATTTCCAAAATTATTTTTTTTCAATTTTCCTCTCCAAAAAATTTTTTACGAGTTACCGTAAATACTCTAATAGAAGCCCATCTCTTGTAGAAGAGAAGCCCATCTCTAATACATATATACATATAAGCCCATCCGAGGGGGCCCATTAAAAAATATAAGCCCAGTGCTTCTATTAGAGTATTTACGGTATGTCTCGGTTTGAGAAAAAGTATCGAGTTTCATGTATAGTTTTCAAAATTTTCTTCGGATCGGGTTTCGTGCTTGGGGTAATCCGAGACATCCATGCTCCAAAAAATAAATCAATTTCTAAAAATCCTTTCAAAAATCCCTCACCGTTTGTTCCTCCGATTGAAGCAATGTTGTTGGTCGTTGACCAACAACAATTTCATTTTCTTCAAAATGTTTTTCAATAATTAAGGAATTATCAAAATATTGTTGTTCTTCTTTTACTCTTTCTTCTATTGTACTTAACTTTAATTAAAAGAATTTTTTTAATTTCTAAAAAGCCAGACCTCAATATAAACCCTCTGGGCTGGAAACCCCTTACACTATAACAGGCTGTATTTTAAATAGGAAGTATCACTTTGGAAGCTACCCCATCCAGCGACCATCCGAATTTAATCAAACATATCACTTAGATATTTTCGGGGCTAACCCTTCTTTCTTCCTAATTCCCTGACCATTTTGAGCTTTCTCCTTCCCTTTTTTCATTATTTTTTGTAAAATCAAGAAAGTATCACAAATTATAAAATATTCAGAGGGATCCATATTTCTCCGAAGAGAACAAAAAATTTTGGGATAGCTTATATTGAAGTCAAAATTTTTTAAAAACCTCTCCCTCTTCTTCACTATCACCACCAACTTCTCTATTGGAACAAGAAAGTCGAGTAATTATTAAATTTTTATTTTCAACATTTTCATTTAAAGATAAAGGTTTGGGAGAGACTGATCGAATACTAAAAAAGATAAAATTGAGAAAATTAAGATTAATTTTGAGGAATAAATTTATTAAAAAACAATTTAAATTCAATCCTTTCTAGTACCCTTTTCTAACCCTTAATGAGTGATTGGAAGCTCGTGCCAAAATTCATACTCGTACCTGTGTGCGAAGTGAGGCAGGTGAAAAAATGAGGCAGGTACTAGTACGAGGTAAAAAAAGGCCTGTCTGAAAGTTCGAGTACGAGCAAATTTCAAAATTCCAACCAATGCCCTTAATATTAACCCTGAAATCCACCCCGTCCCCATGGCCTTCGTTGTGCTACCTTAGCTACATAAATATTTTGATTTTCGATTTTGAGTTTCTACCCGTCCCTTGTCCTTTCGATTTTTGAAATTTTTTTTATAATTTTTGATTGTTTCGATAATTTTTTTAAATTTTCATCTCAGTTCATGTAGGGACGAAATTTTATTTTTACAAAAAAAATTTAAAAAATATTTCTCAAAATTTTCTAACATTTATTTTTCATTATTGACAAACCACAACACAACAAAACAAACAACAGCAATTTTTCAGAAAACCTTGTCGGATTTTTTTCCAATAAAGTATTAGGCATCCATTGCAATACAAGGGTTACACCCAACAATTCATCATCTAGACAATAAATAGATAGATAGCCTGGGGTGTGTATTGGTTCTCTTAAAATTTGAAATTTTCTGATAAGAAAGATTTTTAAATTTTATGGTTCCTGGCCAATTTATGGGTCATATGCAGTATATTGAAGTTTTACCAAAGGCGTACCCTTATATGTGTATACGAGAAAAAATAGGCCAAATACATGTACATTTAGTCCAAGTCTTTAATATCTGTCTTGGCTTCCAAACCGTTTTTTGAAGTTCAGAAAAGGTCACCAAGTCTGGAACTTGTATGTTAACTTAGCTTATCTTTTGGATTGGTCTTTCAGGCAGTAACCAAATTCCCGATATTTTTATGGGGGACGTATCAGAATTTTTATGGGGGATGCATCAGTGTTTTGGGACTTATGCTCTCTACTAGATCCGGAATTTTTATTTTTTTTTTAAAATTAATTTTTTCAAATTCATTTAATTAAAAAAAATTATTAAATTTTATTTAAAAACACAAATCTGCAATATTTTCTGCATCCTCATGCAAACAAATATTATTTTTTGAATAAATCACTTCTCCATTTCTGCCAATAAAAAACCCTGATCCTCCTAAATATTTTAATTAATTTAATAAAATTTCAATAAACCATTTCTAAAGTTGGAGATTGCACCCTGCGCACGGCGAAGAAAATCGTTAAAACGTTTGGAAGACATTAATGTATTTTTAAGTTTACTTGTGTTTTCTTGTGTTTTTATTTTTTTGCTGTGTTGTATTTTTATTTTATTTGTGTTTTTATTTGTTGTAATAAAACACTAGAAATTCTGATTTTTGTATTTTCGTAATATGTATTTTACAACTCAGAAATACAACATCGCTCCTACAAGTGTATAAGAGTCAGAATTACAAATTCTGATTTTTAAATTCTGGTTTTTGTTTGTTGGAATCGAATTCTGATTTTTAAATTCTGGTTTTTGTTTATTGGAATCGAATTCTGATTTTTAAATTCTGGTTTTTGTTTATTGGAATCGAATTCTGATTTTTAAATTCTGGTTTTTGTTTGTTGGAATCGAATTCTGATTTTTAAATTCTGGTTTTTGTTTATTGGAATCGAATTCTGATTTTTAAATTCTGGTTTAAATTCTGGTTTTTGTTTATAGGAATCGAATTCTGATTTTTAAATTCTGGTTTTTGTTTGTTGGAATGGAATTCTGGTTTTTAAATTCTGGTTCTTTTTTGTTGGAATCGAATTCTGATTTTTAAATTCTGGTTTTTGTTTGTTGGAATGGAATTCTGGTTTTTAAATTCTGGTTCTTTTTTGTTGGAATCGAATTCTGATTTTTAAATTCTGGTTTTGTTTGTTGGAATAAAATTCTGATTTTTAAATTCTGGTTTTTGTTTGTTGGAATGGAATTCTGGTTTTTAAATTCTGGTTCTTTTTTGTTGGAATCGAATTCTGATTTTTAAATTCTGGTTTTTGTATTTTACTAATATTTTACAAATCAGAAATACAACTTATAAAAGTGTGAAAAAGAGATATTATCAGAATTACAAATTCTGATTTTGTTTTATGTGTTTTTGCTTTAAAATAAAAACTCTGAAACTTTTACAATCTTACAAAGAAGCAAATAGAAATTTACAGAATTCGTGTCTGGTCAAAAGGGTGACACGACTTGGGCACAGTGATCCATTTGCACAGTAAGACTTTTGCACAGAGGACAATTACACAGTGGACAAGTGCACAGTAAAGTCTTGTTTATTCGCAAAACAACCTACCCATTTATTCGCAAAACGCCTGTTTAGTCGCGAAACACTCCAAATAAACGCAAGGCTCATTCACCTATAGGTCATAACTTCGTTCAGAATCATGAATGTTGTGACTTATAGGGGGTTTTTTTTGGCTGGACCGATTTGGACAAATGAGGTGTCATTCGAAAGAGCTCGCCGAGCTGAGTCGATTGAGGGGCGAGTGGAGTCGATCCGACAATCAGGGACCGAGATACAGACCCCTGAAGTTTGAAAAAGAGAAGGGGGGCGTAAGCTCATTTTGGGGTGAAAAATTCGAAAACGTAAATAATAGCTCATTCGACTCAGCTCGTCGAGCTGAGTCGAATGACACCAAAATCAGCTCGATATCTTGATTCTGAGCCAAGATAAACAGGTTCAAATTGGTCAACATAAACCTATGGAGCGTAGGCGAGGCGCTTGTGCGAAACCCCGCGCTTCGCGCGGGGTTTCGCGGCACGCGCCTCGCGGGGAGTCAACGGTCGCTGGGTCTGGGTCAGTAACATAAACCTATTCCTATCTCTCTTGCTCTGGACGTACTTGGGGCCTCTGTAGCAGCAAAAACCTCAACAAAGACCATAGGTAAGGAGCTAAAACAAACGATCATAACTTTGTCAAATCAAGTCGGTTCTCGATGATTTTGGTGTCATTCGACTCAGCTCGACGGGCTGAGTCGAATGAGCTATTATTTGCATTTTCGAATTTTTCACCTCAAAATGAGCTTACTCCCCCTTCTCTTTTTCAAACTTCAGGGGTCTGTATCTCGGTCCCTGATTGTCGGATCGACTCCACTCGCCCCTCAATCGACTCAGCTCAGCGAGCTCTTTCGAATGACACCTCATTTGTCCAAATCGGTCCAGCCAAAAAAACCCCCTATAAGTCACAATACCCAGAATCATCCAATCAAGATGATTTTGGTGTCAGCCGACTCAACTCAAAAAGCTCTTTCGAATGAGTTATAATTTGCATCTTCGAATTTTTTACCCCAAAAAACCGCTTGGTTTACTCTATTGTTTTTCGATTTTCGGGAGCCTATATCTCTGCGAGTTTTCGTCTCCCGCGAACAACTTTTCCAACAACGGGAAAAATTGCTTATAGAACAGGGAAAATTGTTTTTGTTTAAGAAAAACCATTTTATTATTAAAAAACTTATCAGAAAGTCTAACACAAATGCACTTAACCACAAATTACTGTGCAATTGTCCACTGTGCAGATGCCCAATGTGCAATTGTCTTACTGTGCAAATGGATCACTGTGCCCGTGTCGGAGCGCCGGTCAAAAGTCCTTTCATTAAAAGCTTTCCACCATGTTTCACCATACCCATATTTTACCAATGAGTATAAAAACTCTCGTTTTAAAGCAGATCAAACCCAATTTAACCAACAGCGAATTTTCTAATTATAAGGACAAATTTCTGATTATAATCTTATTGATCAAATTTTGTAAGTATAAATTTGTGAGTTAAAATGTTGATTTTTTATATTTGAAAAGGGCATTTAGGTGAAAACATTGAAGGCTTTGCTTTCATTTTGTTCTGATTTCTGGTTTATTTTCTGATTTTTATTTTGTATGTATCTCAGTAATTCTCAAAAAAGCTGTGAGCTTTATAAAGAAGTTTTATCCCAAGCTTAATTTATTTTTACAATTTCTACGACAAAAATTAATAATAATATTAAGGAAATGTTAATCATATTAGCACTCCCAAGAATGAATCGACTTGTCAGATTATTATTATTACTTATCAGGCGCCCCACAGGGAGAGGGCTTTCTCGTCCCCGAACATTTGATTGGAGTGCAAGTCTCGCCTGCCTGAAGACATCGAATACTCGCAGCCTAAAAAATGTTCAATAGATTCAGTATAACAAATCAAACTGACCTTGATGTAATAGTCGGCTGAGCTTCCCATTGGTTTGAATGTATGAAATTTTGTATTTGGAATTGGAGTCAATTCATCATCCAGTGTAATTCTTCTTCCACATTCGCTTTCGAAGGTTTGGTTAAACGGTGCAGAGTTAGTTAATCGTGCATACATATGACATGTTGGATCGCAGAAAGAATTAATCACAATTAGAGAATAAGCATTTATCAACTTCCAGCAAATATCGTCTTCGTCGCAAACACAAAAGTCCTGCATCTTTGAACACTTCATAATGACTGAAGAACTACTTGCACTTGAACCAGTTGTAACCGTTGTAACGGGAATAAAAAAGACATTTTTATTACTAGGATCGGCTGGGCATTCACAAACTCCTTCCGTTGTATTGCCATTAGTTGATATTTTGGGATCAGAAGGGTTGTAGCTCAGCAATGAAGTGACTGGGGGTTGAGCACAATTGAAGGTAGTTGTAGTGGAAGGTTCTGTTGTGGTTGTAGTTGGCTGGGTAGTAGTTGTTGTAGAAGGTTGGGTTGTTGTGGTAGTTGGTAAAGTGGTTGTGGTAGTTGGTAAAGTGGTTGTGGTAGTTGGTAAAGTTGTTGTTGTGGTCAATTGTGTGGTAGTTGTCGATGCAACTCCACAAGCGTTCGAACAGTTCTTTTTACATATTACTCCACCCAATTTATTAAAGCATGCTATATCATTCCACTCTCCTGATGTACCGTTGTACATGGCAGCGCAAGCCTCTTGTTGACCAGCTTTAAAAGAAAGTTTTTATTACTAAAATTATTTGAATAAAATGCTATTAAGTAAAAAATTTTTGGCAAATGATTTGTTTTACGATTATACTTACATGCTGTTCCCGTTTCCGTTCCTGAAGGACCTCCAGTGATGTTGAAATAATCACAATTTGTTCCATCCGAGTTGACGCAGTCGACAGTAGAATTGTAAGAAGGATAAAATGCACAACGGTGCAAGCCTAGCCAGAGTGAACGCCACTGAATGTCTTGTGTAGTAGAAACTCTACTAGCACAAACTGATGTGTTCGTTTGACACGCAGTTATATATGGAGCTGCCAATTGACGAATAAATTCGTTTTCAGCTACGCTATGGACCGATACGACTTCAGCTCCGATCGCAAGACATTGTGCATTTGCCTTGAATTTGGGAAATTTTTTTAGTATAAGATAGCGAGTGCTTCTCAACCTCATAAAAATTAAGCCAATCTTTCATTACAACTTGATAACCATATGTTTTTCCATCTTCACCTGTTCGTTTAGTCCAATTGCCGGATGTACAACTCGCTTAAATATTTAACATCTCATTTTACTTCAAGGATTCTTTAAATTACTGTCTGTAATGTAAGGTTGGCGGATCCGGATATCCGGATCCGAAAAAAGGCCGGATATCCGAAAATTTCGGTTCGGATCCTAGAATTACGGAAAAAGGAAGAAATCTTGCCCAATGGCCTTCCAAATTTCTCAAAATTTTCGCCTGCGGCGCTGAAAAATGAACAAATCTGGTAGCCCAGGCTGCCAAAATTCACAAAATTTTCGCCTGCGGCGCTGAAAATGGAAGAAATTTTGCTTCATTTGCTCCCAAAATTACAAAAAATTTTCACCTTCGGCGCTAAAAAGTGAATTTTTTTGGCCTACGGCCTTCCAAAATTACCAAAACTTTCGCCTGCGGCGCTGTCAGTGGAAGAAATTTTACTTAAGGACCTCCAAGTTTTAAAATTTTCGCCTGCGGCGCCGTCAGTGGAAGAAATTTTACTTAAGGACCTCCAAGTTTCAAAATTTTCGCCTGCGGCGCTTAAAAGGGAAGAAAAGGGGTTTGTATGATAACGGAGGATTTACCTCTAAATCTCTCAGTATTCTCTTAATCGGCGCGCCGAAATTTGCGGATTTTAATTTGCGGACCCGAAATCTGCGGACCTGAACTTTGCGGACCCGAATTTTGCGGACCCGAACTATGCGGACCCGAATTTTGCGGATCCCAGATACGATCCCAGATATCCCACGATCCCAGATATCAATTTACCAAATTCAAAAATATGGAAATAGCCTATGTATTTACTACTTACTCCCAAATCCACTAAATTCTCACAAATCATCAGATAAACTACAAAATTTTCCACACATTGATTACACCTAAATAGATAACTCTGTTAAGCATAAATTATCTCGATAACACTGTTAATCCCCAAATCCAATCATAATTGCTCTAATCCCTTTATATTTTCCATAAGACTCAACTTTTCAGCGCCGCAGGCGAAAATTTTTAAAATACAAATTTCGGTTCCGGATCCGGATATCCGAAAATTTCGGTTCGGATATCGGTTCCGGATCCGGATATCCGAAAATTTCGGTTCGGATATCGGTTCCGGATCCGGATATCCGAAATTTTCGGATCGGATACCGGATCCGGATCCGGATATCCGAAGATTTCCAACTATCCGCCAACCTTACTGTAATGTCAGAAGGGCTAGTAAGTAAAGCAGTCTTGATGGATGTACTTCCACATGTTCCTGTACAATTTCTTTTACAAACAACTCCGCCCAGTTTTTGGAAGCATGAAACATCGTTCCACTCTCCAGTTGTGGCGTTAAACATAGAAACGCACTCCTCAATGAGACCAGCTTTAAAGTGAAGATATAAGCATTATTAATAATTAGTCTTGATAATTCTGGTGGTTATGGGTTCAGTAACTACAGGGTGGGGCAAAAGTTCGGCGACAAATTTTATTTTGTCCTTTCTTAAAATTTACTTTATATTTTGCTTTTTGATTAGATTTCCCATTCTATGATTCGCGCTCTACAAATTTTATCTTGAAAATTTTTTCCTATCTCATAAAGTAAAAATTTTACAGTCTGTTTGTTGTGTCCGCACTTGCAGAAAGAATATAAATGAAAATAAATAACCCAGCATTGGGTTGGATGGTGGCACAGTCGGTTGTGCTTCGGTCTGGGCTCATTCCATGATGGTTCAATTCCATCTCCCATCCACAATTTTCCACAGCACGAATATCGTATACAATAATGGTGCCACGACCCGGCCAGGCTTAGCCTGAGGAAACTTAAGCGAACCGTCAAATGCTGTGATGATCTGACATACTTTAACTGTCTAGAGAAATAAGGAGAAGACCCTGTGAGTATCGCCTGAGCTATGTGCGGGCAGAAATTAGAAGCGTAAGACTCTGTGTGAGCAGCCAGAGAAAGCGTAAGACTCTGTGTGAGCAGCTACAGTGAAGCGTAAGACTCTGAGTGCGCAGCTAGAAAATAAAATGCCACAAATGGGTTTCTGTGTGTGCTCTCCCAAAAATCGAAAACAGTTGATAGTTATTGAGGACAAGCAACAAGCGAGGACGCTTGGTTTCGCAAGGCGGAAGGAGTGTTGTGTCCGCACTTGCAGAAAGAATATAAATGAAAATAAATAACCCAGCATTTGGTTGGATGGTGGCACAGTCGGTTGTGCTTCGGTCTGGGCTCATTCCATGATGGTTCAATTCCATCTCCCATCCACAATTTTTCCACAGCATGAACATGTATACAATACTGTTAAAGAATCGTGCTTCTATTATTTCTTTGTATTTTAAAAATGTTCGAAAATGTGACATCGCTAGACGGCTAGATATCTGTCGTATGTTGGTTTCCAAAGCAATAAAACAATATCATGAGCTTGGAAATACTCAGGACCGTCCTAGTAGTGGCCGGCCGGTAACCGAAGTTACGACTGAAATCATGAACAGAAGTCAGATGCCGAATTTCCCGTTTTTCTGAACAATCGATGTGAAAAACGGCCTCAGATCTCGGAATGAGCTCGAGGTGCCTCCTAAAAATTGTCAGAGTGAAGCTTAGACTTTGGAGTTACAAGATCAGCCGCTCATATTTCCTTAGCAATCGAATGAAGCATAAGAGACTTCAAAAATGTCGAAGGATTAAACGCCTGGTCGCAGCTGGTCGCCATAACAGAGTGATGAATGTAAAAATTAATGCCAGTCTAAAAAAATGACATTCTGAGGGGGGTTGTGCATCCATGGGCGTTATAGCATTTTGGTGAAAACCAATTCTCGCTTCAGCAGGATTGGGTACCTGTGCATGGAGCCAAAACGGCAAATCAGCTCTGTGGGGAGCTGTTTCCTGGCTTTTGGGGGAAAGATATCTGGCCTTCAAACTCAACGGATTTAAATCCGTGGATTATTTTATTTGGGCAATTCTGTAGCAAAAAGTATGCCGAATCCGATACGCAACATAGGAGGAACTGAAAGTTGTTTTGAGCGGGACTGGAACTAATTATCCGATGAACAATGCGCGACCATTGTTAGTCACAACCGAAAGCGTTTGGATGCGTGTAGTTCAGTCAGGGGCGGTCATTTTGAGAAAATACTTTAATAAAATGATTATTATATCCTATTGATTATATTTTATCATTTTTTCATGTTAAATAAATTTTTTTTACAATAGATTTTATTAAAAACTTTTGTCGCCGAACTTTTGCCCCACCCTGTAGTGCCAACCGATGCCTTAACCTGATCATTGGGGTTGGGATCCCCTTTAGTGCCTGCAAATCTCCCGATCGACGGAGTCCGAAGTCAACACGAGCGGGAGCCTAAAATCAACGTGGATCAGCGCAGAATCCAACGGCACCTTAGCCGATACCATGATTTTAATAGGTCGGCGACGGAGCCACAAAATGCCCACTACCCAGCATTTGTTGCCAACTAAGCTTTGTTTTTAGAAATTAAGTATTACCTCCACCCCCGCTGTCAGACCCTGAAGGACTACCCACAGCCCATGGAGAAACCGAAGAAGTAGTAGCGTAATCACAAGGCGTTCCATCCGAATTCACACAATCAACAGTAGCATTGTAATTAGGAAAATATTGGCAACGATTCATTCCCAACCAGACTGTACTTAAAATTGTGTCAAGGCTTGTAGAGGCTCTAGAGCCACATGTTGTTTTATTTGTTTGGCAGGCGATAATATATGGGGCGGCCAATTTTCGAACAAACTCGTTCTCAGCATCACTGTGGATAGATGCCACATCTCCTCCAACTCCGAGACATAGAGCACGGGCCTTTAAATTTTTTTTGGTTAATTTTATGGTTCAGGAACAAGTCCCTTGTTGTTGAGGTTTTTGGAGTTACCATTTTTACTGATATACAATCTCAATATTCTCCTATCTCGAGGTTTTGTCGGAGGTCGGTGGTTAGCCCAAAAAATCAGAGAATCATCGGGGTAATGGCTACAACTATCTCTAATTTAAAACTAGAAAATA